TATATATATATATATATATATATATATATATATGTATGTATGTATATATATATATATATAGACATCTAAATGAAGTTGTTTGCAGATTCTGTGGTAGTTAACTGGTGCAGAGGACGCTGAAATATTAAAACTGTCTCCTTTTATCTCCTTTCTTTTGTCTCCTTTCTTTTGTCTCCTCTCTTTTGTCTCCTTTCTTTTGTCTCCTTTTGTCTTCTTTTTTTGTCTATTTTATTGTGTCTCCTTTCTCTTTCCTGCCTTATTTTGTCTCTTTTCTCCTTTGTCTTGTCGTCTTTCTTCTGTCTCTTTTATCTCATCTCTTTCTTCTTGTCCCCTGTCTCCTTTATTTTGTCTCCTTTTGCCGCCTTTGTCTTGTCTCCTTCTGTCTCCTTGATATTGTCTCCTTTTAACTCTTTTATCTTGTCTCCTTTATGTTGTCTCCTTTCTTCTGTCTCCTTTCTTTTGTCTCCTTCGAACATAAAAGCTGTACCCTGTCTCTTTTCTCATGTCCCCTTTTGTCTGTCTCCTTCTGTCTGTCTCCTTTTATCTGTCTCCTTTTATCGGTCTCCTTCTATCTGTCTCATTTCATCTGTCTCCTTCCTGCTGTCTCCTTTCTGCTGTCCCCTTTTATCTGTCTCCTTTTATCTGTCTCCCTTATCTGCCTCCTTCTATCTGTCTCCTCCTATCTGTCTTCTTTGTCTGTCTCCTTCTATCTGTCTCCTTTCATCTGTCTCCTTTTCTGCTGTCTCCTTTCTGCTGTCTCCTGGCTTTTGTCTCTTCATTTTGTTGTCTTTTGTTTGCTGTCTCTTTTCTTTTGTTTTTTTACTTCTGTTTATTTATTTGCTGTCTTTGCATGCAGTTAGGGCTGCCTCTTCACGTACAGCGCGAAGAATCTCTTCTAGAAGACAAACAAAAAAGCAAACAGAACTTATTTGTCTGTCTCCTTCATAATAAAATAGAGAGGAGACAACTTCTTTGTCTGTCTCCTTCATTAGATACAAAGGAGACAAATGAGTTGTCTCCGTCTAAAGACAAAACAAACGAGCTGTCTCCTTCATCAGACAAAGAGAGGAGACAGCAAACACTCGCTGTCTCCTTTATAAGACAAAGAGAGGAGACAGTCCGTCTCTTATAATTACGTTGTAGATAGAGAGGAGACAGTGGCTGTCTCCTTTATAAGACAAAGAGAGGAGACAGTCTGTCTCTCTTTTATAATTATATTACAGTTAAACCGGAGACAGCGGCTGTCTCCTTAATTAGACAAAGAGGAGACAGCGGCTGTCTGTCTCCTTTATTAGATCCCTCTGCTGCATCTCTACAGACAGACGCAACTCTTATTGCACAGTTTCCCCGTGGCTGTTAGCTATGACTAGCTGCGGCTAGCTGTGGCTAGCTGTAGCTAGCTGTAGCTAGCAGTGGTGGCTAGCTGTGGCTAGCAGTGGTGGCTAGCTGTAGCTAGCTGTAGCTAGCTGTAGCTAGCAGTGGTGGGTAGCTGTGACTGTTATCTATGGCTAGCTATGGCTAGCTGTGGCTAGCTGTGGCTGTTATCTATGGCTAGCTGTGGCTAGCAGTGGTGGCTAGCTGTGGCTAGCTATATCTATAGCTAAGCCCTCCTGAAGTTAAACCCTAAACCCTAAACCCTAATCAAGTTAGGAGCTAAACCCTAATGTGTTTGAGCCTAAACCCTCAGCATAAACCCTAAACCCTAGATATAAACCCTAAGCCCTCAACATAAACCCTAAACCCTAGACATAAACCCTAAACCCTCATATTAGTCTCATATAACCATCCGCTCTCCCTCTACTGTTGTTTATTGCTAATCGTAAACAAGAGATAAAAATATATAATTTATGTCTTTAAAATATTCATTTAAAGGAATAACTTAATATCTGAATGCGACAAACAAAACACAAAAAATTTGATGTTTGCACTTTGGGGCTGCATGCGCTGCAGGGCCCCCTCTATTTGTTTTTCTTGCGGTTGTCTTCGCTGTCTTCTTTTCTTAAAATCAAAATAATTAATATATTTTAAATGCTTTAAAGTATTTGCGGTGTACCTGCTACACTTCTCCAGCTATCTTTCCCCTAAGGGACCCTAAACCCTAAACCCTAAACCCTAAACCCTAAACCCTAAACCCTAAACCCTAAACCCTAAAAACCCTAAAGAACCCTAAACCCTAAACCCTAAACCCTAAACCCTAAACCCTAAACCCTAAACCCTAAACCCTAATACCTTAAACCCTAAACCCTAAACCCTAAACCATAAACCATAAAAAGATCGGAAGAGCGTCGTGTAGGGAAAGAGTGTAGATCTCGGTGGTCGCCGTATCATTAAAACCCTAAACCCTCTCGAATCGTTTCTGTTCGTCCCCATGACGGTCTCCTGCTGCTTGGCTGTAGGGCGGCCTCTTCACTCCGCAGCAGCAGCAGCAGGAGCAACAGCAGCAGCAGCAGCAACAGCAGCAGCAAGAGCAGCAGCAAACCGAGCATGCTGCAGCACTTTTTCTAATCAACGCCTTCTCTGTTGCTATCGGGGGGCCCCTGGGGGCCCCTCTACACTTTTGCGGTCAGCAGCAGCAGCAGAAGCAGCAGCAGCACATCGGGGTGTATCTGCAGCAGGCGCGCCTGCAGCAACAGGCGTTCCTGCTGCTGCTCCTACTGCTGCTGCTGTGTCTTTGTCTTCACCTCTTTCTGTTTGTTGTTTGTCTCCTTTTGCTGCTGCTCGCGGTGTCTCCTCTCCTTCTCTTTTTTTGTTTGCGTCTTCGAGGGGCCTCGTTGAAATTAAATTTAAACAAACAAAACCAGCAAAAGACACATCCAACATTCCTTTTAAAGTGAGGACAATGCTGCTGCTGCTGCTGCAGCAGCTGCTGCTGCTGCTGCAGTTCATACTGCTGCAGCTGCAGCTGCTGCTGCTAGATGTGATGCTGCTGCTGCTGCGGCTTCAACGAATGCTGCTGCACCTTTCGTGCAGCAACAGCACAGGCAGCAGCAGCACCAGCAGCACCACCAGCATCATCATCAGCAGCACAAACAGCACAAACAGCAGCAGCAGGAGCAGCATCACGAGTAGCAGCAGCATGCGTGTGGGGTGTCTGCGCAGGTGCTGCGAACGGCTTCGGGTAATTTGGCTGTCTTATTCGCGAATCCGAAAGCACGGCACAGCCGTCACCACCATTGTCAGACACGCCGTTGGAGACATCGCAGTGCGTCGCCTTCTGTCTCCTTTTCTGTCTCCTTTTCTGTCTCCTTTTGAGGCTCCTTTATCTGTCTCCTTTATCTGTCTCCTTTATCTGTCTCCTTTTCTGTCTCCTTTTCTGTCTCCTTTTGAGTCTCCTTTTGAGTCTCCTTTTGAGTCTCCTTTATCTGTCTCCTTTCTGTGTCTCCTTTATCTGTCTCCTTTATCTGTCTCCTTTATCTGTCTCCTTCTGTGTCTCCTTCTGTCTCCTTTCTGTGTCTCCTTCTGTCTCCTTTATCTGTCTCCTTTCTGCGTCTCCTTCTGTCTCCTTTTGTCTCCTTTTCTGTCTCCTTCTGTCTCCTTTTTGTGTCTCCTTTTGTGTCTCCTTGCGTCTACTTGTGTCTCCTTGTTGTCGCCGTATTGCCTCCTCATTGTCTCCTCCTTAGCTTTTTATTGTCTCCTTCTTGTCTCCTCCTTAGCTTTTTATTGTCTCTGTTGTTGTCTTCTTTGCTGTCTCTTCTTCTGCTTCTGTCTCTTCTGCTGTCTCTTCGTCTGTTTATTTTTTGTTTATTTTTTGTTTGTTTTTCTGTCTCTTTTGGTGTCTCCTTTTTGTCTTTCTTTGCTGTCTCCTTTGCTGTCTCTTCATTGTCGCTTATTTGTCTCTTCTTTGTCTCCTCATTGTCTCTTTAGTTGTCTCTTCTTTTATTTATCTGTCTCTCTTTGTTGTTATTTGTGTATATTTGTCTCCTTTTAACTGCGGTGTCTGTCTCTTTCTTTTTGTCTCCTTTCTCGTACGAATATCTTTTCTTGTGCAATTTTATTAAATAGGTTTTTAATTAATTAA